TAATCACTTTCCCCCCTCAGGAGCTGTAACGGGACGCCCCCCCCCCCCCTCGCCCCCATGGGCTATGGGGTCCGATGGGGCGGAGGAAGGGGAATATACCCACTGTCCCCTCGCAGGCATGGCGCCAAATTCGATGAATTATTGATGTTTCTTTCAAAACAAAAGCCCCGCCTGAGAGGAAGGAATACTGAAAAGAAGCCGATTGTTTTTTGAAAGTTACTAAAATCCACAAAGCAATTAAAACGGTCATAAGAAACAGTAGAAAAAGGAACAATATACAGCTTAAAAAATATAACCAACGAATAAGCAAATCTCAAGAATCTTGAAAAAGAGTCAGTGAAAGAAAAACAAGTCGAAATAATGAAATAACAGTTTGATTAAATTATCCTTGGAGAGAAAGACGAAGGAGAATGGGTGATATTCAAACCCGGTATTCTAAATGCTTAAACAAATAAAATGCGAACTAAGAGAAAAAGCGGAGGCCGAAAACGCCTGAAAGGGGTGCGCAAGTGGCGAAACATACCAGATAAATAAGGTTGGGGTGACATGCGCAGCTGCGAATGACTAGCGCCATTAAACCCGCACCAGCAATATCACAAGCTATCCTCGGTGAGCTCGCCTACATTTATTTTTGCGCGTAAACTCACCCTCCCTCTTTTCCACATCCCCACCCCTATCTTAGTTTCCAGCTATTCACTGCACTCACCCGATCCTGTCTGCTCGATCCCTTCCGCATTTCACCCGTTCACCTTTCGCAGTTTTAGCAGACGTAACGATTTGACCTAGTTTGAAAGCCGGGTAATCAATGTTTCAGGCTCGTGCCGCTTTTGTGTCTGTCTATTCTCATGACTTAAAACATTATTTTTCCTGGCGTTCTCGCTCTCGCATTTCAGTGATAAACTTTGTCAGCATTATTGCTGCAAGTATGTCGGCTGCATTGTTGTTGAGTCTAGTCCAGGGGTTCCCAGCTTGTTTTACATAAGCCCATACTGGAAAGCTAACCCGAATACAAAATGCTAGAATATGTTCTGGTAAATTCGGGACATGTGAACCAGCATCATTGCACACGGTTATAAACCATACGTGCTCTTCCATCAGCACAGACAGCTTTTAAGAAACTGTCAGCCTGTGTCGCCGTCCAAAACGCAACTCCGTAGCTAAAGCGACGTTCCTCCATTTACCCTAGAGTGTTAGCCCTGGTACCCATTATCTAGAGGCATGGTGAACCCCGGGAACCGCCCGGTTTCGAACACCTACCATGGGCTGCAGCTGCATTTGAAAGCGAGTCTCCTATCGACTGCGCTAACGCGGCTCCACACCAGTTGAGTAGGGGTTGAACGTGGCACCTTTTGATTGTAAGGCAGATGTGATACCAACTACACTAGACATTATGCTGGCCGAAAGGTAAAATAAATTCTCTATTCTGATAACCACCCAGGTACAAATCACAGAAACACTGAACAACCGTAAGGTTACACTTGGGCTCACTATGGAGGTACCTCGGTGAACAGTTCTTTTAACTGCTTGTATTTCCAAAGACTACGTAGAACCATCACCAGGGAAGGGCTCAGCGCACATGGGTCTAACAAACATCCAAGATCTAACTAAAGCAGGTGGCAGTGAACCGCCAGACATGGAGAGCTATGACCTCTGCCCTGTGCGCCGCCCTAGGCTCTAGACGAAAGACTGACATCCCAAGACATATTCTGGTTCAAATGTTAGACTGGGTCGACCCGGGGACCCGGGAGCCTGTGCAAGTGATACAACTGCAAGTTTCTGATGAGCCAGACTTCATTCCTTAGTGCAGCGGTTAATTCACAAAGTGCTGATCAGTAAATTCAGACACGTTCATTCTTCGTTGTTTCTTCCATCCCAGATAACCATTGCATCCACAATTTTCGTGTTAACTCTATATTTTACACGTTTAACTGCCCTTGTCATTTTAAACCCTCCAGTCCTGGACAGCTACTGCCCTTGTCCTCTATTTCCACGTTATATCATCATTATCATCCTTGTCATCATTATTATGTGCCCTGCCGATAAACACAGGAGGTTTTTTTCTCTCCATCTCCCACGATCATCAGAGACACGGATCAGGTCAGTGCTCCTGTCTGAAACACCCCCCCGCCTGGTCCTAATAGCCAAGCCTTCAAGATGTTTATCTCTTTGCTTTCGCCTTACTCTTTCCCTATAAATCTTGCCACTTATAACCATGCTCTCGAGTCCATTCCTTCTGATAGCATCTGCAGAAAAACTTACCATCTGCATCTACAGTTTCAAATAATTCATTGTGGGTTCCGGGGTACCATTGTGAGGAAAACAAGAATAGACCCACTGCCTCCCCCAACAAGCGTGTCGTTAGAGTCGGCTAATTAGGGACTTCCTTTAAAGCTGAAGTGTATCCGCCTAAGAGGCAAGGAACTAACAGTCTGCATACAAATAAGCAAGATCTATAAAACGGACTCACACGCAAAACTCAGGTCCTGGAACAAAGCCAAAGTCCAGAAATGGACGAACAACCAGGTTTTTCCGCTAGGGGTTTACAGCTGATGAGCGCATACACAAACAACTAACTGACTGCCAGTGACTCGAAAGAGTAAAGAACAAGGGGCTGGGTTACTATGATGATGGTGACCATGATAGAAGCAATTTGAGAACCCTTGTCTAATCTACCTTTAGTCGGGGTCATGTGTGTGTTTTTCCTTTAAAAATTCAGTTACCATGCCTGCAGGTAGCTTTGTCAGTCATGTCTTGTAATATTTGCATAGTAATATGTTAAGGTAGTACCACGGTAGCCTAGAGGCTTGTCCCTTCCTCTGAGGGTTTTGCTTTCGAATCTGCATTGCCATGCAAATTTGTATAACTGTTTTAAACTTCTAGATCGACCTAGCCTAACACTGACACTAAAACATATCCCGCAAAGTGAAGACTGCCGGTGTGTCGTTGACCACATCATAAAGTGAATGTGGATTGCTCTGTAAAATGTCTGTAATAGGAAATGTCACGGGGAGTAAAGGTGGTCACCGTAATGTTAACCACAGCACACATCGAATGTTGATTGGTCTTTAAAAGTATAAGTTAGCATGGCGCATTATACTCCACTAGAGGGTCTGTAAAAATACTGCAAGAATAGCCTATGATTTCTTGGATACTATCTTCCCGTTTTGGTCCCTATTTCCCATTTTAGGTCAAAAAAGAATAGACACACAGAATCTTTAGCAAGTATGTTGTAAAATACATCAATACAAAAGTAGTTAGATGAACTAAATGAAAATATAACCTCACCTTACCTACTTGAGAAGAGTTGCGTGTTACCTACCTGAGAAGAGTGCCTACTAGGATGGTACTGAGAAGGGAGGAGGAGATGTTATTGTTGATAAGAAGAGTCTTATCCAATAAAACTTCAGTAATCTGAAATTCTATTGTTTTTTTTCTGTAACATTTTTTATGTATCTGTTTTGCCTTTTACTAAAAGTCTGTCCAGAGAACTTTGCTTCTACCTTCTTCATAGGATGTTTGGTTTTGATTTGATTTGAACAACGGATCAACATCATGGCACATAGGTAGTAACCCATAAGTGCTCCGTTCTACTTCCAACTCAAGTCGCCTGAAGTAGCTCAGCTCCGTTGCACTGGTGAGGATCCTGAAATATTTTGCCCTGGCAGCGCCGTTAGGCTACTGTTTCCAATTTCCAACTGCCAAAGGAATTATTTACGTGAGCAACAATACACATGGGCTTCTGATATCTCTACCCAGAGACCAGAGGAAATTACTAGAAGCCCTCGTGAAAAAATTGGGACCTCTAGCACTCGAGGCAAACACCATACCTCGAGACCACGCAGCTCCCCCCTAGGATGTTTGGAAATGGGACATTGTCTGGTCATTCCAGGCAGTGCTGTTACGGCTTGTTTTAGCTTTGTTGGGGTGACACTTTTCTGCAAGCTCATTGACATCCATCTGTGACTTTGTCTAGAGAGGGTAAACAAAGACAATGGGGGACTAATTTTGACTCTACAAGTTCTAGCACAGGGTTCGTATTCCAAACAAAAGTCGTATACCAAACAGATGTTCTCTTGTCTAAACAGGACATGTACCAAGTTGAACATATTCCAAAGCAAACACATGTTGAGGTGTCACAGTAGTTCTGTCACCCAGCTGAATTAAGTGCTTGGCATCAAACTGTGAGCTGCAGATTTTATTTGGAATACTTTCCAGCTGTGCCCAACATGGTTTGCATTGTGAACTTCACATTCAGAAAATAGCAACTAGCCTGTTGCCAGAGAACTTGTGGTGCCTTATGTGATTTATTGAGTGTGCAACCCCTGACTTGTAACTGGTGCTTTAATCGACAATAAACTGCATTTCTAGTGCCGGTCCGTTTGTGTTGGCACTTCTGACTGCTAGTTCATGCATTTGATACGCGTGTATGAAGTTGGATTTGTTAAGGCTGCAGTCTGTGTCATTTTTCCCCCACGAGGGACATTGATGGACATTCCATGTAGTTTTCATTGGCACATGAATGGAACAACTATGAGGTGACCAGTTTGCTATGAAGTTGGAACTGCCATTACCTGAATACCAGTAATGGTACTACAAATGCTTCAGTTCTCCCAAAAAAAAAAATGTTACATGATTTTAATGATTTTTCTGTTCTTCTTGCAGATGTGCCTCAGCATTATAGTATCACACCTCAGATTGCATGGCAGCTTGGACAGGAGATTGATGGTAAGTGCGTTATATTATTTTGTGTTATCACAATGTCATTGCAGACAGAGCATTTCCAAGCATGCTTCTCCACCCTGTGTTGTCATTCTGGATGCTTTCACTGACAGATACATTCTTGTGATAAAGTTTGCAGCTTTTTTGGGAGATTAGGGGCTAGGGTACAATGGATAACATGTCTGACTATGGGTTAATATAATCCAGGTTGGAATTCTGACATAAGTTTAGGGATTTCCTCGGTGAAGCTGTAAAGCCATTTACCTCATCCCCTGAAGGTCATATGTTCGTTTTACCAACAGCATCTTTTTCTTCACAAGGGAAAGTTTTACAGACATCCTTGGGGATTATCGCTGAGGCAACAGAGGTTATGCTTTGTTGCAGTGCAGTCTGATGCTATCGTCAGGCGGCTAGTCATTCTGTGATGAAAGAACGAACCATATGGTATAAAATCCAGTTCAGTGAAATCAATGCTGACAAATTCAACTTAACTTTCAGAACTGTTGTTTTTGAGTATTGCATTGACCCATTAAGGCTTGTATTCCATTCTTAACAGTCTGTAAATGGAACTGTCTTGCAGGTCTTTTGTTTTTTGTTGTTTGGTTACAGTTTGTTCACATAGCCTACGTAATTGAAATGGTGAACGATACCTAGGCATATGTTTGTTATGTCTTTCATGGCCTGTCCTTGGGTATAGAATAATAAATAACTCATAGTAATGAACATGGCATAATAGCGTGATCTTGTTTTCTAAATCCACCTTCTTCCCCAGTATTGCCACTTTCAGTGTTTCTCCAAAAGACTGGGCTTATCTCTCTTCTAAAGTGACTGAGAGAATGATTTTGACTTTGCATTGTTTGTTCTGTCAAGTTTCCTGCAGATTGAAACCCTTGAGCTATAAACTATTGCTTGTTCAACAGTGTTAAACTTAAATATATATATATAAAAAAAAAAAAAAGTAAAGATCCCTTTTCACGCCTTTCGGCGCATCAGGCATATGGGCAAAGCGTCCCATATTTTTACAGACCATCAGCACTCTGTGGGTAATGTGGTCAGCATTACGCCGGCTGTCTTTACTTTCCCAGGACAGCCCATCCTGGTACCCATTTTAGGCTGGGTCGACCTGCTACGTCCCATACCACGACAAAAATCCATGCAGCCTGCAGTGGGTTTCGATCGGGGTATGCTGGCTTACGAGTTGGACTCGCAACGCCTTAGCCACGGACGCCGCTGTTTAACTTATATTATGCTCATTTAATTGTATATAATTTAATATCTTGCTTGTTTAACATTGCTTAACTTATATCTTACTTATTCAACAATGGATAATTGATGTCTTGTTTATTAACAGTGTTTATTTTAAATCTTGATTTCTTAATAGTGGTTAACTAACATCTTTTTTTTTTTAAACAGTGATTAACCTATATCTTTATTGTTCAACATGTTTATTTAATATCTTGATTGTTTAACATTGTTTGACTTAAATCTTGATTGTTTAACAGAGGACAGAAGAGGCACTGTGGTTGTTGAGCTTCAGAAAAAAGAAGGTTGTGGGCTGGGATTAACAGTGTCAGGTATGTTGTTCTACTTACTTACTTACTTACTTACTCTATTGAGTAAATTTGGTGGTTTGTTGGCGATACTTGGAAGGGCAAGGCATTTTATAAGTTTTCAGGTTTTATTTTGTTTCTGTCAGCATCTGTGGCTTACCTGGGAGCCAAGGTAGCGTAGTGGCTAGAAGCTTACCTACCAGCCTGAAGGTCTAGGATTCAGATCCACATCAACAGAGATTTCTGTTCAAAATTTACATTGGTTTCCAGGATGACCCACCCAAAGTGGGTACCAGGTTATGTTCTGGGAAGTAAAGGTGGCAGGTGTAATGTTAATCCCATCACCCACTGAGTCTGTAACAATGCGGCCAATCTTGCATTGTATGCCTGATGTGCCAATGGTATATAAAGAGTCCTTTACTTCTGAGGCTTAGTGGTTAGGAATGCAGTTTCAAAGTACTCACATAACGGGGTGTAAAGTAAGCTGCAGATGAATTGGCTGATTTTGACAATGGAATGAGTGTCATACATTTTAGACGGCAGTAGCAAACTGCTAGAAGAAAAATCGTCTAGTGAAATCATAAAGCAGTCAGTAAATGATTTTCCTTCTAAGTCGGAATACATTTGCCTGAGAGGCGAGGTATCAACAGTTTGCATAAAAATAAGGCAGATCTGTCAAACAGTTGTACATGTAGCATGTCAAACTCAAGTTCTAGAACAAGACTAAAGTCCAGAAGTGGACAAGCAACTTTTTTGCAGGAGTTTAAAGCTTGTAAATGTGACGAAGAAGAGAATGAATGAGTTGGTTTACGAAAACACTAGCTTTGTATGATTTTATATAAAGGTGGATAGAAACAAACTGGTCTGTTCTTGAGAACTACGGAGTACAAGAACAGTTTCTAGAGAACATCGTGGCCATGTATCACACAAACCAAAATGCAGTAGGAACACATGAAGGCATATCAGATATGTTCACGGTCAACACAGGTGTGAGACAGGGATGTGTGCTCTTTCCCCACTTTTATTTAACATTTATATAGACAGAATATCTAAAGAAGCAAGTTCTGATACAGACAACATAGACCTTTACAATCATGAGGAAGTACACACATCAGCAGAAGTAATAGATTCACCCACATTTAATGAACTACTATTTGCTGAAGACTGGTGCTTATTCTACCCTGAAGCAGATAGACTGCAAAACCACATTAACAGGTTAAACTCAGCATGCAGTAAATACGATATGAAGATCAATGCAGACAAAATCAAAACAGTGCAAGTTAGTAGAACCCCTGGCACACTACACATACAGTAAAATGGTTCTCATCTGAATCAGGTTAGGGAGTTTAGATATTTAGGAAGTGTGATCACGGAAGATAGTAGAATTGACAGAGAAAAAGAAACCAGATGTCATAAAGCAAGTGCACTTATATACCAGTTGTCACCATTATTAAGACATCCAAGCATAACTATGAGTGCAAAGAGACAAATTATATATAGCACATATTCATTCCAACATTAAGCTACCTGTGTCAGACATGGACACTATCTAAAGCCCATACACGCAAAATCACCACCTGCGAGATGAGATGCCTAAGAAAAGCAGCCAGCTTAACCATCTAAGATCGAGGGAATAATACTGTCAGAAAATTTGTGGGAATGACACCTTGTACTAGATTCATTGAGAAACAGCAGATCAAGTGGTTTGGCCATCTCGTTAGAATGCAGCAAAAAAGTCAACTAATTAGGGGCGATTCCTTAGAATTCGGAGTGCATCTCCCTGAGAGGGGAGGAACCAACAGTTTGCATGCAAATAAGCCAGATTTGTGAAATGTATTTACATGCAAAACTTAAGTTCTTGAACAAAACTAAAATCCAGAAGTGGCTGAACAACCAGGACACTTTACTGGAGTTCACAGCCAGGGAATGCAATGCAAGAAGATGAAGAAGAAGTATTCTGTGACCCTTATTATCCCTGGTAACACTCTCATATTCAAGTGTTGCAGGAGGCATATTTATTATCAAAGAGATGACCACCCACTTCCTTGTCTTATCATTCTCCAGTTACCTCTGTGAAGTGTTGGGAGATGTAAGGATCTTCTGGATACTCTTTGTAGTGTACTGTCTAATTTGATCTTCGCGTCTCTAAGCATTCCATCTTTTGCATGGTCTTTACAGTGCTCTTTGCTTATAATAGCTCTTAACATTGCTTGCTGTGGCAGTTAGTACCGGGGCTTTCTCATCAGATGGCCAAACCATTTCTGTTATTCTTTAATTTTTAATTTGATCTCTGTTTGTTGCAACCGCAAGTCTCCTAAGATACAGCTTGTCTTGCTTGTTATAATTTTTAAAAAGACCAGTTGACACTTCTTGTACGGCGTGGTCAATTTCATGTGACCATCTTTACTTCTGAAGACATGTCCTGGTACTTTGTTGTAGACTGTGAAAACCTGAAAGCCCTCGGTCAGTTTTAAAAATCTGCCATTTGTGGATTTAACAGAGAAATGATTTCTCACATCAGAAAGAGACGGTCTGCATTCTTTGGTCACGTGATGAGAAGGAGAAAACTGGAGGAATCATGACAGTAGGAAAGTTGGAGGGGAGGAGAGGCAGAGGGAGACTGAGAGAAAAGATGCTGGACAGCTTGATATCATGGCATGGAGGATCATCTGTGTCAGAGTTGACTGAAAGCACGCGAGACAGGAGGTTGTGGATAGATATGACTTCCAACGCCACATGGCATGGACTTTGAGAAGAAGTGAATTTAAATGACTTTTAGGCCCGCGGATAAGTGACTACCCACTGCACTACTCCAATTCCCCACTTCAGGAAGGGCTGATTGATCAATCAATCAATTGTTCAGTTTGTCCCTTCTGTACTGCTACCTAAATGTTTACTATACCACCCACACCATCCTGAGATAGAAAATCTCTGGATGGTAGACCGACAAGGCAGATGCCAGATACCTTGTTCAACTTTCAGAGATGTTATTATTAAAGCATCTGTAAGTGCTACACCAGCTGGGTGTCACCTGCAGTCCTCTGCAGGTAAGGATGGGGGTTGGTGGGGGTAGGGGGGGGGAGGACTTGAAAAAAACAACTCAAGGCATACTGTCCAAGCTTTTGCATTCTTCTGCAGCTTATTTGCGAATTAACACTGTGGTATGGGTTTTATTCACTCACTTGGGAAATTCACATTTTGTCATGGGGTTCATTCATTAGAACTGGCAGAACTGAACTGGAGCAGGCATTAGATTGATTCATCATGAAATGGGTTCTGGATAATTTGTGAAATTTCCTGTGTAGAACAGACATTGAAGAACAGGACTGGTAATCCTACCTGATTTGTCTGTAAACTACTATCTATATGAACGGCTTAATTTTTTCACACCCATCTAGAAGTATAAATCATAGGATTACAATTAGCTGTTATTTTGCAGATGATAATAAGGAGATGCCAACAGTTGCTCTTGTTTGTCCTTAGAAGAACAGTTGGCACACTGTGTTGCGGCTGCTGACAGCTAGACTGCAATGTCTATGTCTTTCAGCCCAGTACATCATATTTCGGCAAATTTCTATTTAGTTGCCATTTACTACGTGCTTGTTATGAGGGAGTGGCTCTGTTCTCTCCTCGTCTCCCTTCCCCACTCTAACATATAGATCTAGCATAAAGGAGGCACAGGCCTTGGTGCTGGATGGGAAATGGCCACCTGGAGAACATTAGGCTTCAGCAGTTTAAAAACCTTGCTTGAGATGCACCGTATTGACTCATTACATCGGTAGCTATGAATCTCCACTATGCTACCTTGCTGCCACAACTTCTGAATTTTAATTTATTTTTCTTCTTATTTTGCCTACTTTTATCATTTATGTTCATTACAGGAGGTGCAGATAAAGGTCAGAGGCCACATGTATCGAATCTGCGCCCAGGCAGCATTGCTCACAGGTCAGATTTAAAGTGGATCTGTGCAGTTAATATATAAATATTAGTGTGTTCTCTTCTAGTTTCCACATTGAGCAGTTAGGTGTCCATCTATATAAGAAGCATGTTGCGAAGGGTGACTTATTGTGGGTTTGCTGAAATCTGATGTGTTGGTATGAAAGGTGAGGACATCTGGGCTTAGCTGGGAATCGCACCACAACGCCCCAACCATCATTTAATGATTGAATACAGGTGAGGGAGAAGAAGGATAAACTGTGTCAGACAGGCGTGTCTGCATCCTCTTTAAAGACAGAGAAATATACAAGGTATTAATTGTGCAATATATTATTTGTGCCCTTATTATTAAACTTGCAGTGGAATAAAGTTACTTTGAACTTTTTTGTAACCTACAAAATAATTAGGATAAAATGCCTCAAGTTCCCCATCTAGATTTTGGGGTCTTTGAGGAAGGAGAGGGAAGGAAAATGAGTGAAAGACTAGACCCGCTGCTCCTGAATAAGTATGTTGGAAAGGACTTGCCAAAATCAGGTGTATTGTGCTGAAAGGCACAGATATCATAGCCTACCCTGTAAAGGAATAAGAGTATTCCCTAAGTGATATAGATTGCCTTGCCATGCCTTGTCTTTTGTGATAACCTAGGATCTGTTTGGAAAACCTTCTCCTGCTGCACTTTTATCTGATTAGATTCCACATGCCTCTGTCACCTGATAGCATGTCAATGTCTGACCCACTTTATGTATCCATTTTCTAAAGCATTTTTGTCTTCGTTTGTGTTTCCGGGCATTTTCCCCCGTAAGCTAATTATTTGAACAACCCTGGCTGATCTTATCACAGGTCCTGACCAGCTGATTCTGGCTTTTTAAAAACAGTTGTTACGATTTTCAATATTGAGAACATGAACAGTATATTGCAGAGTTTATTGCCCAGCATATTTTGCTGTTTCTTGTCAGGTGCGTACCTCAAGAATTATATCAGCATTTTAAAAAAAGACAGCTTTTTACACAGTGGTGAATATTTTATGCAATTTTTCTTTGTCAGTTGAGATGAGAAAGAGAATTCTTAAAAGCTATAATAATCCTGTCTTGATATAAAGTAGTGAATCATGGACAGTTGGTAGATTAGTGAAAACTTATTTGGAAGCTGCGGAGATGTGGTTTAATAGATAAATGAGGAGAATACCCTGAACGGATAAAAAGAGTAATGAAGGTGTCTTGGAAGAAACTGACTCACGAAGAGAACTGATTGCCCATTTCAGAAAGAGACAGTCTGCATTCTTTGGTCATGTGATAGGAGGAGAAAACAGGAGTACATCGTGACAGTAGGAAAGTTGGAGGGGAGGAGAGGCAGAGGGAGACCAAGAGAAAAGATGCTGGACAGTTTGACATCATGGCATGGAGGATCATCTGTGTCAGAGTTGACTGAAAGCACACAAGACAGAAGTTGTGGATACATGACTCCAGATGCCACACTGCATGGAGTTGAAGAAGAAGAAGATTAAAAAAAAAATTATAAAATATTACTAAATTGAATTCTGTCACCTGAAATACAAATTGCATAGTCATTGTTTATCTCTGCATATTACCGTGGTAGTTTAGGCTAGCTAAGTTTTTTTATGTTTCATTATTATTGATATGACTTGTGTACTCTGCACCTGACAAGATACAATGAAATATTCCTCTTATTCTTCTTCTCTTCCTCTAGTCATGTCAGCAAAAGAGAGGGGAGGTGTAAGGATTGTCTGTGTACTCTTTATAATGCATTGTATATGTCAGTCTTCATTTCTTCAAAGTTACCCTTGATGCAGTCATACTATCTTTTACGTGGTCTTCTCTCTGTTTTTTATATTTCTTCAGTATGGCCGCCTGTTGCAGATTGTGCCAGGGCATTCTCCTCAGAATTAGAGCATAGGCCCTCAGCTACATCATGCCAAGTTGTTTTATCCATCACTATCACATGTAGCTCTCCCCATGTCTTACCCCATCCTTTTAACTTCACTCTCTATCTTCCTTCTCCACATGTTTCTTTGGTCTTCCTTTATTTCTATGCCATTGTGGGTTCCAGTGCAAAGACGTTCTGTTCTAGTTATATTGTTATCAGGTTTTCTCAGCCTGTGTCCTGTTCAATGCGAGCGAATTTTCTTCACCTTTTGGTCCATTGGAACTTATTTAGTTTTCTCCCAAAGCTCTACATTAGTGATTCTATCATACCATTTGATTCGTTCTATATGTGGCAATCAGTTATGCATTATATTATTACAGATTTGGATTTTGGAAACAGAGCAGTGAGTAAACTAAAGCTATTTGCTTGCTGCAAATTAGTTAATAAAGTATGAATAAGGATCTCTTTGTATCTTTTTGTGTATTTTCTGTTTCCGTTTCCAGATGTGATGCGCTGCTTGTGGGAGATTATATTGTGTCAGTAAATGGGATCCGAACAGCAACTCTACGCCATGAGGAGATTATAAATTTGTTGAAGAATGCAGGAACTAATGTCACATTGGAAATTGAATATGAAATTCCTGATTCAGGTACTGTTGATGCTCTGTTTTTTTGGGCCACCTATGCTTGATGATCTGTTAATTTTACAGCTAGCTTCCAGCTTGTTCTGAATTTTACAGTTAACTTCCAGCTTGTTCTGAATTTTACAGTTAACTTCCAGCTTGTTCTGAATTTTACTGTTAACTTCTAGCTTGTTCTGAATTTTACAGCTAGCTTCCAGCTTGTTCTGAATTTTACAGTTAACTTCCAGCTTGTTCTGAATTTTACAGTTAACTTCCAGCTTGTTCTGAATTTTACAGTTAACTTCCAGCTTGTTCTGAATTTTACAGTTAACTTCCAGCTTGTTCTGAATTTTACAGTTAACTTCCAGCTTGTTCTGAATTTTACAGTTAACTTCCAGCTTGTTCTGATTTTACAGTTAACTTCCAGCTTGTTCAGTCTTAGGCAGTTGTTTCTCGTCTGTTACAAAAAGTTGTATATTTGTATCTAGCACTTTCTGAATGGATTCCAGGGCCCTATTAGGGGAAAGCAAGAATATACTCACTGCTCCTAACAAGCATATGGTAAAATGCGACTAATTAGAGTTGCTTCTTTTGAAGTCTGAATGCATCTGCCTGAAAGATGCGCAACCAACAGTCTGCACACAGAGAAGCCAGATCTGTAAAATGGATATGCTCACAAAACTCTGGTTCTGGAAAAAGTCTAGGGTTCAGAACAACCAGAACTTTCTGCTTGAATTTACAGCTGGTGAAGAATGCACAGAAGAAGAAGGATCCAACATAGGTGGCACATGAGAGGGTGCTGCCAAAGATGCAGGGCAATTAGTTTAACAAAACCAAAAAAAAAAAAATACAAAAAAAAAAAAAATAAGTGAAGGACACCCTTTAATGCCAGTAGCATACTGGGGCATGTGATGCTAGACTCATACTTTTATAAACCATTTGGCACATACACCCTGGCCGCTTTCACTTGCCGTGACATGACCTGTTACTTGTGTTAGGTTTGGTGAATCTGAGACCCACGGTCAATTAAAAAAAAATGGTTTCAGACCTAATACAGATTTAGACCTTCAGTCAGCATTTAAGTACCTAGCTGCTATGCTTGTGGCTCCCAAAGAGGAATTAGAGAGAAGAAAATTTAACATCACAGACTAGAGCTTGTTAAGGCTTGGTAGAAACACAAAAGGCACAGTTTTCAGGCTCAGAACAGGACATTATACACTGAGAGCATACCTTTATCGAAATGAGCTTCAGTGAGTTTACCACCAATGGATGCGCAACACTGATCAGACTCCAGAGCCTGTCTTACAAGGTCCCCTCATGACTTTATCACAGATGGATGCGAAACAATGATCAGACTCCAGAGCCTGTCTTACAAGGTCCCCTCATGACTTTATCACAGATGGATGCGAAACAATGATCAGACTCCAGAGCCTGTCTTACAAGGTCCCCTCATGACTTTATCACATATGGATGCGAAACAATGATCAGACTCCAGAGCCTGTCTTACAAGGTCCCCTCATGACTTTATCACATATGGATGCGAAACAATGATCAGACTCCAGAGCCTGTCTTACAAGGTCCCCTCATGACTTTATCACAGATGGATGCGAAACACTGATCAGACTCCAGAGCCTGTATTACAAGGTTTCCTCATGACTTTATCACAGATGGATGCGAAACAATGATCAGACTCCAGAGCCTGTCTTACAAGGTCAGCTCATGACTTTATCACAGATGGATGCGAAACGATGATCAGACTCCAGAGCCTGTCTTACAAGGTTCCCTCATGACTTTATCACAGATGGATGCGAAACAATGATCAGACTCCAGAGCCTGTCTTTGTGGCGTGACGGGTGGTTAAAATGTTTTATGATGTTGAGTAGGGATGTTCCTCTCAACACATTCCTTCCACCAGATTAACCGAACTAAAATCTGAGCTATGTTGCTCTCAGACAAAGTCCTGGATACCCAAGAAAACAACCATATTGGCTCGTTAAGTACATTAACATTAGCTGAACTTGGTACCCACAAGAGAAGAAAAGGAATTTTAGATGTCTATAGCATTATATTAAATGAATTATTAGACAGGGCAAATGATTCCTCCGTCATCTACCTTCTCCCGGTGTTATTATTAATAATTAAAGAATTATCATCATATTATTTGAGCCCCCACCAAATGTTATTCTATCCTAACAGTTTAATTAAACAGGTAAGACTGAATACACTTGGAATTTAACAAACGATGTAGTTTAAAACTTGACATACAGCTTTATTTACTAACAATGATATTCCCAGTTTGTTGATTTACACAAACAGTGACTGGTTAATTTGATGATAGTGGTAAGCTTCAGCGAGAAAAACAGCTCGGGGTTTAGAGTGGTATGATAATGATGATAATAGGTTAACATAAAGGGGTTAACTCAACTTATAAGCCTCTGACAGCCGTGAGGAACTGTCAAGCTTGTCCAACTCTTCCTTGCCTGTTGTCTGCCTGTTTCAGCTTATTCTCCACTTCATCCCCACCTCGTTCTCCACCTGGTTCCCAGCTGGCCGAGTTTAACACAATGTAATCTCTTTCATGGACTGATCGTCACATGGGCGCTGTAATCATGGAAACAAACACATACGTGTAGTATCTTGACTTACACTAAGAATACATGTATCAATTATTGTAACATATAATAATAAAATATATCCCATCACTCCTCCTCATATTCCACATCCTCTCCAGTCTAGTCTGAAGGTCTTTTGTCTTACATGGGCGTCACATATCCTGCCTTCCTCTCATGCTATGTCATGATAGTTGACTTTCTAAGTCTGTTGTCCGTCATCACTCAGACTTCCAACAACTGGCTGACATTGATATTACATGACCACGTGGAGCAGGCTTTGTGCTGAAAACTCCAACACTTTATATGTGCACGCTGTCCTGAATATTATCTTTCAGTGACAGTGAATACTGTACACCCATCATTCTTCCCCTGGGGTTATAAATCCCCTGTTTAGGTGAACACATTAAGTGAGCACATGGTGGGCACACAAAATGTAGCAGCATCCCTGCACATATTTGGGCATGATTTCCCACAGTCCAAACTCATATTTTGGCTGATCATGGAAACAATATAATTACATTTCATTATAGCAAATGTCATTGTTCACATCTTATTTTATACACATGAAAACATACACTGAAAAACATGTGACACAAACATACAAGAAATAGGAATAGTTTAGCAGTTCCCTAACTGAGATACTGAATACTCACAAAGAACTATTTCAAGCAGAATGTGTAGACAAATTAGGAAAAGGTAGTATAGACTAAGCTTAACTCCCTAACCTATGTATACAAGATTAAAATTAATATTCACCTGGGAACTTTCCAGCAAATGCCGAACACGACTCAACCCGGGAGAAAGTACTTTTCAACGGTAGGTCTGAGTCTGTGGCCTGCTGGCGGCACTATGAGGTAAATCTACGATGCTCGCAGTATAAGTATCAATCTATTGTCCAAATTAAACTCCTCCCTCTACTTAGTTCTACCCAACCCTCAAGATGATGACTAAAGCCCCGCCTCTGAGGTAACTATCAGATCAACTTGGCTAACCAGTGACCTGTCACTCACAGTGAACGGCCTACAGTACGACCTTGACCAAGATAAAACATTCCTAATTGCCAAACACCTGTTCTCTCCAGAATTACACTGACGTGTTAAACTTTAAACTTCTCGTCGCCTCAATGTCTAGAGTCCACTAAATTCGTGTTAGGTTATATTTTATGACCTACGGTCCAGCTCAGGTGTGATGCTAAGTTTCCCGTTCGCTGGCCTCTACAGTGTGGTCAGGAGATAACATTCTGACACTGACATGTGAAAGGAAATTCTCTAGCCCCGGTGTAATTGTGTAACATTACCCAAGACTCAGTCGCTTTGTCTGGACTAAGGACTGGAAACGTTTAAATCAATACGGTTTAAAGTAACATTTGGTTTAAGGGCATAGTCTCTTGTCACTCAATAACCAGAAGAACTTATTACAAGTACTAACTTCTGGAATCACTGAGATCGTTTCGTAACAGTCTTACAAGGTTCCCTCATGACTTTATCACAGATGGATGCGAAACAATGATCAGACTCCAGAGCCTGTCTTACAAGGTCCCCTCATGACTTTATCACAGATGGATGCGAAACACTGATCAGACTCCAGAGCCTGTCTTACAAGGTTCCCTCATGACTTTATCACAGATGGATGCGAAACACTGATCAGACTCCAGAGCCTGTCTTACAAGGTTCCCTCATGACTTTATCACAGATGGATGCGAAACAATGATCAGACTCCAGAGCCTGTCTTACAAGGTTCCCTCATGACTTTATCACAGATGGATGCGAAACAATGATCAGACTCCAGAGCCTGTCTTACAAGGTCCCCTCATGACTTTATCACAGATGGATGCGAAACAATGATCAGACTCCAGAGCCTGTCTTACAAGGTTCCCTCATGACTTTATCACAAATGGATGCGAAACAATGATCAGACTCCAGAGCCTGTCTTACAAGGTCCCCTCATGACTTTATCACAGATGGATGCGAAACAATGATCAGACTCCAGAGCCTGTCTTTCAAGGTCCCCTGTGATTGATTTTTTAATATACTCTGAATAAAAATGCTCGCTTGCGGATCGGAAGATCGTGGATTCAGGTCCTGACAGACTTTAAAAAAAAAAATGACCTTGGCTTCCAGGTCGACCCAGCCTTGAGTGGGTACCAGGTACAGTCCTGGGAAGTAAATGCGGCCAGCGTAATGCTGACCACATCACCCACCAAGTGCCGTTTGGTCTATAAAATATAGGTCTAGCCCTATATGCCCAAAATGCCTGAAGGCGTGGAAAAGGGTCCTTTACTTTTACTTTACTCTGTGCCCGGCTCTCTAGCATAGTTGGCTAAACAGGATTGCTCGGAGACCCTGTGACGAACTCCTTGTGGTTCGGGGTTCACCCCCGGAGGTATGCAGAAACGCCACATTTCTCCCAGATTTACGGTATTTACAATGGAATCAAGGCCTAAAGGTTGTGATATCTATAATACCGAGCCTAAGGGTTAACAACTCATGGCTTCTGGATACTAAAACAAAACAAACAAACTATACTCTAAATAAAAGGGGCAAGTCACAGAACATGTTAGGTGATAACCAGAATTCATGTGAAAGATCCGTTCACATATCACATGTTGCTAGGAACTGAAAGCGTTAATTGATGTAATGGCCTCTTGTTCAGTTTGTACATTTATGTTTGTTTGGGACCAGGTTCCAGTGGAGGCAATGTCCGCAGTCACATCCATGATGTTACACTCACCAAGGAGGTGTCTGGCTTTGGTCTTACACTGAGGGGAGGCATGGTGGTTGATAAGATGAGGGCTCACCCACTGACTGTTGTAGCAGTTAGGCATGGAGGGCCAGCAGATAGGTAATACTGGATGCCATCAACCTTCTTTCTCTTTCAATGGGCTGTTTTATCTTTGTCTAGTATTGATTTGTGATGTTCAAAACTGAAAATAAGATTCATAGACTGTTTTGTGTAGTCAGAACTATGATATAAAGCTGTATGTTCATCAGTGCCCAAGAGCTTTGTCTGTCATTGCTAAAGAAGTTTGTCCATTATTGCTAAATAGCTATGTTTGTCATTGCTAAAGAGGTTAATCCATCATTGCTAAATAGGTTTGTTCATCACTGCTAAAGAGGTTAATCCATCATTGCTAAATAGGTTTGTTCTTCACTGCTAAAGAGGTTAATTTATCATTGCTAAATAGGTTTGTTCATCACTGCTAAAGAGGTTTATCCATCATTGCTAAATAGGTTTGTTTATCACTGCTAAAGAGGTTTATCCATCATTGCTAAAGAGGTCAGGGTCTCCATGGTGAAATGGTCAAGCATTTTGCTTCACGCTGGGTTAGTTTCAGGGCCGTGCCTTTGAAGGCTGTGCCCTTCAGTTTGTGAGTGCAGTTTTTAGGAGATCCCTGGGGATCGTCGCCGAGCTACAGAGTTTGTGCTCTGTGTGGCATTCTCAGCAATCGGCTAGGATAAAACCCGGTGCAGTAAAGTTTGTTCTCTTGACTGTAACCTTTAACCTTTGCTAAAAAAGGTCCATCTGTCATTGTTCAAGAGGTTAATGCATCATTGCTTAAGAGGTTTATGAATAATTGCTAAAGAGGTTAGTCTGTCTTTGCTATAGAGTTTCATTCATCATTGCTAAATATGTTTATCCTTCATTGCTAAAGAGGTTCATAAGTCATTGCTAAAGAGCTATATCAAACATTGCTAAAGAGGTTCATAAGTCATTGCTAAAGAGCTATATCAAACATTGCTAAAGAGGTTCATAAGTCATTGCTAAAGAGCTATATCAAACATTGCTAAATAGGTTCATAAGTCATTGCTAAAGAGCTATATCAAACATTGCTAAAGAGGTTCATAAGTCATTGCTAAAGAGCTATATCAAACATTGCTAAAGAGGTTCATAAGTCATTGCTAAAGATCTATATCAAACATTGCTAAAGAGGTTCATAAGTCATTGCTAAAGAGCTATATCAAACATTGCTAAAGAGGTTCATAAGTCATTGCTAAAGATCTATATCAAACATTGCTGAAGAGGTTTTTACTTTAGTTGAGCTCGATCTTCGATTAATCTGTTATTGACAGTGATTTCACATATACCACATTGAGGGTGGCACTAGAGGACTTTTGTAATTTTGTGAAATAGCACTGCAGCTTTTATATGAATTGAATTCAAAAGAGAGGAAGCTGTGCAATATGATGAGTCTCTCATGATGATTCCATTTACTCTGCAGTAGATACCTGGATCTTGACTAACAGTAAAATACAACTGAAGTCTTTAAGATGCTGGTTTCAAGAGCACTAGCAGCAGTTTATTGATATCTTATCATCTTGTGACCAAAATACCTGAACTAACAGATTGGGCCTTGGTCAGATATGACTGAGCAACAGTGGTCAGTATTACTACCCGTTCTCCCACTGTGACACTGCTGTTCCATCAATGATGAACTGCAGTTCTGGTGTTGGACTGTTTGTGTTGGTGCTTCTGATGGCTGTATTCTTATTAATTTAATGTGTGTCTGCTGTTAGCTGTTTTAAGACTGCTGCCTGTTTTAATTGTTTTTTTAAAGGGAACACGGGGGATGAGTGGTTTCAGGGCTTGGCGTCCGCTTCAAGTGTTAGAGGTCCTGGGTTCAAGCCCTGTTAAAGGCTGTGAGTTTTCCCTGGTCTCTGGGTAGTAAGATTGGACACCCCTGTGTATTGTCGCGCACGCTGGAGATAAAAAAGAGTAGCCTAACGGCGCTGCCTGGGCAAAAATGTGTTTAAAATCTACCCAAAGTATTTTCAGGATCCTAGCTGGTGCTGCGGAGTTCGTGCATTGCGCTAAGAGTCTTCAGACTCAGGCTTGAGTTAGAATTAGAACGGAGCACTTATGGGTTACTACACTTTTGTGCTACCCTTTGGGGGCGCATTAGTGCAGTCGATAGGAGACTCGCTTTCAAATCCAGCTGCGACTCGCTGCAGCCCACGTCCAGTGTTTGAAACCGTGCGGTTCCCGGGGCTCACCCAGCCTCTAGGTAATTGGTTTTAGAATTAACACTCTGGGGTGAATGGAGGAACTTCGCTGTAGCTACACAGTTGCAATGGACGGCAACACAGGCGGACAATTTCTTATCAGTTGTCCAAACTGATGGCAGAGCACTTATGGTTTATAACCGTGTGCAATGACACTGGTTCACATCTCCTGACTTTTACCTGTACCCTTGTGCCATGATGTTGATGCGTTGTTTAAACATAACCAAAACCTAACCTTAGAGGGAACAGAGATGTACATTCTTATGGTTTCTGCTGGCACAGAAACAGAGCATTTATGGGTGTGACCCGTTTGTTGTGAAGATTGCTTGTGCCAGCTGCTTTAAGGGGAGGAACCCATTGAGGAGAATATTAGCTTGTTTCCCTAGAATGAGGAGGGAGTTGCTATGGTCTGGTGACTAGACGCTTGCCTGTGGATCAGAAGGTGGTGGGTTTGGATCCTGACAGACTTTTTTTCAAAAGGAGGTTGACTCCCCCACCCCTTGAGGAAGTAAAGGCGGCCAGCATGATGCTGACCACATCACCCACCAAATGCCGTTGGGTCTATAAAATATAGGTTAGCCCTGTGTACCGAATATGCCTGAAGGTTTTGAAAAAGGTCCTTTTACTAGAATGAGGAAATACAACCTGAAACCTTAATTTTTATGGCAGGGCTGGCCAGGCCCTTAGCCTTGGATGACAGCTGGTGTAGGAGGGATGTTCCGACAGGTAGACAATCACAGCATTGCTCTTCTGATCTGGCAGCTTCTGCAGCATGCTTTTTCCCCCAAATGCATCGATGTGACCTTTCCCCTGAAGATAACAAAGTAGGGATGGATCATGCAGCATTGTCAGTGCATGGCATAAGGGAAAAAAAGTATTCTCTGGAGAGACAGTAGAAGCCAACAACAACCTTAACTATGATAAAGTGCTTGTGGCATTTATGTTGTGCTCTGGTGGTCATAGTTCATGTTAAGTCCATTAGTGCTATTTCTTTGGAGATCGTTATCAATCATCATGGGAGCTATAGAGTTTCTGCAATGTTCCCTGCATGTGACTAACAACTCTGTTGAGAGAGAGCCAGAACAAATTAAATCTGCTGCATTTATGTGGATCCTTCTCCTCCTTCTCCTCTTCTTCTTCTTCTCCTTCTCCCTCTCCCTCTTCTGTGTTAACTCTTAAAAGGGCAGTTGACATGTTGTGTTTTTTTTTTTTACAGTTAGACTGATATCAACATATGCTATTTCAGCAAACCTCTAATTAGTCACTGTTTGTGACATGCTTGTTATGGAGCATTTCGTTTGTTCTCACCCCCTTCCCCTTTCCCCCCACGAGTCCCGGAACTCACACTGGGAAGTGGATCCTCTTATTTTGTCACCTTGGGTGTCTATAACCTTGATCTCATTCAACAATTATACGCAGCACAGATTTATGTTTTTCTTTGTGAACTTGGTCGTCAGTCTGCAGGGCTTTCTGTTCCAGGGAGGGGTGCATTAAGGTTGGGGATCGAGTTGTTGCCATCAATGGATACAAGGTGGCTCACCTGACTTTGACTGAGACCCTGTCGCTGTTCTCACAGTGTGATACATCTGCAGTGTTCACCATGTCTTATGATGTGGCTGTCCAGGGTAAGTCTTAACATTTATTCCTCATTTTCTTCCTACAGTCCTTTTTTTTCTTCTTTCATCTTCCATCCTTTCTTTTCTGTGATCAATTTTCTTCTTCTTCTTTTTTTTTCAAGCTTTCACTATTTATCCCTGCCTGGCAACTCCTCTGTCTCTCTGCCTGTCTGCCTGCCCCCCGCCCATCTGTCCGTCCGTCAAACCTTCAGTCTGTCTGTCTGTCTGTCTGTCTGTCTGTCTGTCTGTCTGTCTGTCTGTCTGTCTGTCTGTCTGTCTGTCTGTCTGTCTGTCTGTCTGTCTGTCTGTCTGTCTGTCTGTCTGTCTGTCTGTCTGTCTGTCTGTCTGTCTGTCTGTCTGTCTGTCTGTCTGTCTGTCTGTCTGTCTGTCTGCCTGCCTGCCTGCCTGTCTGTCTGTCTGTCTGTCTGTCTGTCTGTCTGTCTGTCTGTCTGTCTGTCTGTCTGTCTGTCTGTCTGTCTGTCTGTCTGTCTGTCTGTCTGTCTCTCTCTCTGTCTCTCTCTCTCTCTCTCTCTCTCTCTCTCTCTCTCTCTCTCTCTCACATGCACACACATCTGATAAAACACTTAAGACCTCATTGTTGTCGGTCAGTAGAAATTTGATTTTCATATTTCCTCCCAGTCTGGGTGTATTATTCACGTTGCAGAGTAGTTCCATATTTCTCCAGTGTATAAGGGGGCTGCGTGGTCTCGAGGCACGGTGTCCGCCTCGTGTGTTAGAGGTTCCAGTTCAATCCCCGGTAAGGGCTGGGATTTTTTCACGTGGATGGGACTTCTAGTAATCCCCCCTGGTCTCTGGATAGTTAGATCGGACGCCAGTGTGCAATGTTGCGCATGTAAAAAATCCCTTGGCAGTTGGAAATCGAAAAAAGTAGCCAAACTGCGCTGCCCAGGCAAAATTTGGAGTTTAAAATCTACCCAAACTATTTCAGGATCCTCGCTGGTGCTACAGAGCCTGTGCACTGTGCTTGTTCAGACTCAGACTTGAGTTTAGAAAAAGAACGGAGCACTTATGGGTTTCTATCCGTGTGCATGATGTTGATCTGTTGGTCGAAACCTCAAAAACTCAATCCCTGGATAAGACAATCCCTATTCTTTTAGCCCAAAACCTGAGAAATAAATATTTTAAACACATTTCGTTTATGAATTTTAATCTTTAAAATTTGGGAAAGCTTATCGTCTATTACACAGAAAAAAATGGTTTGTAGATTTATGTGTTATGTAGCTAGATGCTTACCTGCCGACTAAAAGGTCTTGGGTTCAAATCCTAACAGGTAGGACCTAGCCTTGAATTGATACCAGAAAGTTTCCTAGTAATTGATGGTGGCCAGAATGGTGTTGTCTATTGAAAGAGGATTTCGTAGGAACCAGATGGCAGTCAAAAATTATGGACGATTTAAGAATTACAACAGAAAAAAAAACAACGTCAATGTTATAGACAGAATAATGATTAGAATACTATGGCTTGAGAAGAAGAATATTACTGCCATTGTTCCAGATCTCTCAATAAACTAACTGTATTGAGCACTTTTCAGGGTAGTTTAGCACAGGAGGGTCTTGAGCCTGAGGATTTGGGCCTGCATGGCTAGTGCACTCACCACAGACTGTTTCTGGTTAGGATTATATTTTTACCCCGACAAAAGAATCGATCGCCTTACAGAGGTGTTGAACCTGGGTCTCCCGAAAGAGAGTCCAACATACGTAACCATTCAGCCATCCCTCCTCTGTGCAGCATCTGAATATAATAAAATACTGGCTCATAAACATCAAGTTATCAACAGTGTGTCAGCCTCTTTTACTTTCTAGGGCATTTCCTGATGTCACTTTTAGGCTGGATCAATCTAGGAGTTAATTTAAAGACCCCCGCAGCTGACTAACATATTGTCATATTTCACAACCTTTCATCTTTCTTATTTAATTATACCCATGACACTGTCTTGTCTTCTTTTTATTCTTCTTGTCCTCCTCCTCCATCTGCTTCTCCTTCTCCTGCTCCTGCTGCTGCAACTGCTGCTTCTCCTCCTCTTCTCTTTGTTCTTCTCATTCTTTTCTTCTCATTCCTCTTCTTCTTGTTCTTTTGTTTTTTTCTTGTTCTTCTTTTTCTTCTCCTCCTCATCTGCTACTGCTGCTTCTTTTCCTCCTCCTTTTCCTTCTTCTTTCTCTTCTTCTTCTCCTTCTTTTTCCTCTTTTTCTCCTTCTTCTACTTTTCTTCTTCCTCTTCCTCTTTTTTTATAGCTAGGCTGTGATATCTACATCTTTCAATCCAAAACATCCAGTTTCAGCAAACTTCTGATTAGTCAGCTTTTATGACATGCTTGTTAGGGGGCAGTGGGTCTGTTCTTGATCTCCTCCAGAAATGGGGTCATGGAACCCACAGGAGGACATTGCCTGTGAACCAGTAACATCTTTGTATCCAGACAGTGTTGTCAGTATATGCCCTTTCTGTTCCCATACAATGCTGACATTAACCCATATATATATATATATATATATAAAAAATATGTCTGAACTAGATTGTTGTCAGTATATGCCCTTTCTGTTCCCACACAGTGCTGTCATTAACCCACATTTACAATCTGTCTGAACTAGATTGTTGTCAGTATATGCCCATTCTGTTCCCACACAGTGCCGTCATTAACCCACATTTACAATCTGTCTGAACTAGATTGTTGTCAGTGTATGCCCATTCTGTTCCCACACAGTGCTGTCATAAACCCATATATACAATATGTCTGAACTAGATTGTTGTCAGTATATGCCCATTCTGTTCCCATACAGTGCCAGCATTAACCCACATATACAATCTGTCTGAACTAGATTGTTGTCAGTATATGCCCATTCTGTTCCCACACAGTGCTGTCATTAACCCACATATACAATCTGTCTGAACTAGATTGTTGTCAGTATATGCCCATTCTGTTCCCACACAGTGCCAGCATTAACCCACATATACAATCTGTCTGAACTAGATTGTTGTCAGTATATGCCCATTCTGTTCCCACACAGTGCTGTCATTAACCCACATATACAACCTGTCTGAACTAGATTGTTGTCAGTATATGCCCATTCTGTTCCCACACAGTGCTCTCATTAACCCACATATACAACCTGTCTGAACTAGATTGTTGTCAGTATATGCCCATTCTGTTTCCCACACAGTGCTCTCATTAACCCACATATACAATCTGTCTGAACTAGATTGTTGTCAGTATATGCATGTTCTGTTCCCATACAGTGCCGGCATTAATCCACATATACAATCTGTCTGAACTAGATTGTTGTCAGTATATGCCCTTTCTGTTCCCACACAGTGCTGTCATTAACCCACATATACAATCTGTCTGAACTAGATTGTTGTCAGTATATGCATGTTCTGTTCCCATACAGTGCCGGCATTAACCCACATTTACAATCTGTCTGAACTAGATTGTTGTCAGTATATGCCCATTCTGTTCCCACACAGTGCCATCATAAACCCACATATACAACCTGTCTGAACTAGATTGTTGTCAGTATATGCATGTTCTGTTCCCATACAGTGCCGGCATTAACCCACATTTACAATCTGTCTGAACTAGATTGTTGTCAGTATATGCCCGTTCTGTTCCCATACAGTGCTGTCATTAACCCACATATACAATCTGTCTGAACTAGATTGTTGTCAGTATATGCCCATTCTGTTCCCATACAGTGCCAGCATTAACCCACATATACAATCTGTCTGAACTAGATTGTTGTCAGTATATGCCCATTCTGTTCCCATACAGTGCCAGCATTAACCCACATATACAATCTGTCTGAACTAGATTGTTGTCAGTATATGCCCATTCTGTTCCCACACAGTGCTGTCATTAACCCACATATACAATCTGTCTGAACTAGATTGTTGTCAGTATATGCCCATTCTGTTCCCACACAGTGCCAGCATTAACCCACATATACAATCTGTCTGAACTAGATTGTTGTCAGTATATGCCCATTCTGTTCCCACACAGTGCTGTCATTAACCCACATATACAACCTGTCTGAACTAGATTGTTGTCAGTATATGCCCATTCTGTTCCCACACAGTGCTCTCATTAACCCACATATACAACCTGTCTGAACTAGATTGTTGTCAGTATATGCCCATTCTGTTCCCACACAGTGCTCTCATTAACCCACATATACAATCTGTCTGAACTAGATTGTTGTCAGTATATGCATGTTCTGTTCCCATACAGTGCCGGCATTAATCCACATATACAATCTGTCTGAACTAGATTGTTGTCAGTATATGCCCTTTCTGTTCCCACACAGTGCTGTCATTAACCCACATATACAATCTGTCTGAACTAGATTGTTGTCAGTATATGCATGTTCTGTTCCCATACAGTGCCGGCATTAACCCACATTTACAATCTGTCTGAACTAGATTGTTGTCAGTATATGCCCATTCTGTTCCCACACAGTGCCATCATAAACCCACATATACAACCTGTCTGAACTAGATTGTTGTCAGTATATGCATGTTCTGTTCCCATACAGTGCCGGCATTAACCCACATTTACAATCTGTCTGAACTAGATTGTTGTCAGTATATGCCCGTTCTGTTCCCACACAGTGCTGTCATTAACCCACATTTACAATCTGTCTGAACTAGATTGTTGTCAGTATATGCCCGTTCTGTTCCCACACAGTGCTGTCATTAACCCACATTTACAATCTGTCTGAACTAGATTGTTGTCAGTATATGCCCGTTCTGTTCCCATACAGTGCTGTCATTAACCCACATTTACAATCTGTCTGAACTAGATTGTTGTCAGTATATGCCCGTTCTGTTCCCATACAGTGCTGTCATTAACCCACATTTACAATCTGTCTGAACTAGATTGTTGTCAGTATATGCCCGTTCTGTTCCCATACAATGCTGACATTAACCCATATATATATATATAAAAAAATATGTCTGAACTAGATTGTTGTCAGTATATGCCCGTTCTGTTCCCATAC